ATAAAACTCCGAGATTTTGTATATGTATTCATAATACTACTAAAAGAGAACGCTCCAAAAATGGGCGTGCCGCCAGTTCTGCCAACTACCCTTAGCTATGAAGTGCCATATTGAAACTAAATTTTTAAAACAAAAGTGCAATTCCAAAATAGAATAAAGCAGTTGAATAATCTTAAGAAATTAGAAAATTTTAGTTGAGAAAGAGAAGCATATGCAAAGAATTTCACAAAAATTAATTGACATATTGCCGTTTTAAAAAGTGCCATTTAGGCACTTTGTGCCAAATTGAAAAATTAAGTGCTATTTGATGTAAAATAGGGCTAAAGATGGCATGGTTTGAGCCAAGTTGGCAGACCTGCGAGCCGCCTTAAAAGTGCAATATATGCCATCATTAGTATATGAGGATAGGAATAAAAACCTAAGATAAAAGTTATAAATTATTGATGCCAAGATATCAAATCTGTCAAATAAAGTAGAGACAGAAAACGTTTAAAAGGTAAATATAATAATAATATAAAGGTAACATTAAAAAGTTCCTACATGTTTGGTGAAAAAACGCACCTGTTGCCATTATCTTACTTTTCCAAACAGTTGCAGTGGTACAATACCCTTTATCTACACAAAAACTACATTGTGATGTTAGAATTGACTTTTTTCCTCTCGGGCACCACTGTGCGGCGTTACCACCCTGTTTAAAAATATCACTTACCTTTATTGAGGCACCGCTGAATCCAATTGTTGAGCTGTTAGATTATGCAAGAAATTCATTATTAACCAAGGCACATTATTAACTCAGTTTTATTTTTATTTTTTGCTTGAGTTTTTTTTTCGCAATTCAGCTGGCTGCGGCTATCGATTAGCAATTAATTAAAATTAATAGTTTTTTGATTTTTTTGCAAATATTTATTTTCAGTCTATAAAGAACAAAGAAGTATATAGGAAAAAATTAATGACACGTTTCGCGTAAACATCGGATATATTCTAGTAAATGCTTGATTTAAAGATTTTGTCTTTTTTTCACTGATAGGCGAAAAACAGAGCAGATTGTTTGTTTGACTTTTACTATTCTAAGGCACTTAAATTGTTTTGAAATGCATAATGTAAGCAACTTTTTTGTTAATTTAAGTTATTCAAGTGAACATCATTATTGTGTTACTTAGTAAATGTTAAAAAATGTAGTTTCTGTTAGTTTTGTACTTTTCACAGTTATATGTAAGTGTGTGCGTATGTATGTAAATACTAGAAGGTGTTTACTAGGCGAAAAATTGTTATAGTAAGGTGGTAGAAGAATATTCCTCTAAAACTACATATTGTGTACATAGGTATATACATATGTGAGACATATTTAGATATGTAAGTAAGCAAGAGTTGCTTTCTTATTCCTGAAAATGGTGAACTGTTGTTAGGTGCTGATAGTTCAAAAGCTTGCACAATGTTATAGATTCAGTAAAGTTTCTAGTTAAATTAAGTAAAGTTCATCCATTAAAGTTGCGGTTAATTTTCGGCTAGGTAGTATCATAAAGCCAGTCTGTTTGCGAGTTTAAAACAAATTAGGTGAGACTTCATTACACAAAGCATTACAGCACAAAGTTAAGTATGTATTACGAAAGTTTGTACATATACACATACTTAGTTTAATAAAGAACACAATAAGCGGTGACAACAAGTTGAAAAGAGTAATAATACAATACATAAACTAGTTAAGCGCAGATAAAGTATTATAGTACATAGTAAAAAGTAGCAAGCTTATAGTCTGCCTATACTTATGTCTAAGTACTTAGTAGGAGAGTTGTTAGGCAGGCAGGCGAGCGAGCTGAATAAAAAAGAAATGGCATGCATTTAAATTTGTTTGGCAACTCTGCTGAGCTCTGGTTCAAAACAGCGCTAGAAAGTGACGCAAAATATTGAGTAACTAAATAAACAATTTTTTTTTTTTTCAAAACTGTATTGTGACAATTTTGTGCCGCATATATGCATTTACGTACTTATACATATGTATGTAATTTTTCTTCTCTCAAATATATACTCTCCCGCTCTGCCATGTTTTTTCGTTAACGTAGAAATGTTCTAAATTTTAAATTAATTATTGTAAATAGTAAAATAAATAAATAAATTAGAAAATTAAGTTAAGTATTTTGTTTTTCTTTTTTTTCAGGATATACATATTGCACTCCCTTTTAGCCACATTCAACTTCTACGTTTTTAAGCTTTCCCAATCTTGCTTTCCTATTCTTGATACGCTGAGTAGGCCAATTTTTGCGCTTCATGCAGCGAACGTCCATAGCCGTGCTCCTCGTGCGAGTAATGCGGATGTGCAACGACTTCGTAGTTCTCCTTCTTCGATTCAAGCAATTTTTTCAGTCCAATAATACCACTCAGTAGTAATGCAATCTTGCCAATAACGAGCGCTTTGAAGGAGATCAATGCCAAGAAGCCGATGGCAAGTGGCAGGAGTGCAGCCATTTTCAGTTTGAAGAGCAACAACAATGGCAGGAGGTACTTTTTCTTTTCCTTTTTCTTGCCACGAGCTGCAAGTGAAGAAAGAGAGGAAAAAAACAGGTATGTAGATAAATATTCTATAAGTGGATTTTAATTTTACGCAATGCCAAACGGTTAAAGAAATTTTAATTTGGAAAAGAATATAACAAGGCGAATTTATGTATATAAGATGGTGTTGTTTCACCAGCTGTGAGTTGCGATGAGTGAGTGAAAACAGGAGAGTGGCGGGAATTAATACAGCAATCGTAAAAATTTTGTCAAGCATACTGAAAACTATTTAGAATTTTCATTGCCTACATGAAAAGGCATAACTACACAAAAATTGTGGTAGATTTTTTATTATTGTCTTTAAAAAAAAAAACTTTTTTGATTACTTGTTCCATTTTTTTTATGTTGGTCGGAAACTCGGCTTGAACCCAGGCCCTGCGGAATGGAAGCGCGTATCTCTAGTCAATACATTACAGCGGAATTATAGTATTAGTAAAAATTGAAATGAACTTAGATTGAGATTAAAAAGTTAATTTCATTTATTTAGTTTTAAAGCCTGATTTGTTTATTTTTAACACAAAAATGTATATACATTTGGGTGGTCCGAAAATGTATGTGAAAAAGTAAAGTCGGAATTTTTATGCTCTTAGGATTGTTCTCTACGGAATAATATACCACTATTTTTTATTTGGAAATCAAAAAATATTTAGCGGTCGCTCAAAGCGTCCAAAATGGTTAAATAAACAATTGGGTGTTATTATTGAAAGTCTCCTAGATAACCAGGGTTCCGGTCGAAAAATATTAATTTTCAAGAATTCTATACCATTTCTACGAAAAAATTGTTTTTTTGCCATATAAAAATACATGGAAAACTTTGAGCGCTTGGAGCGACCTCTAAATATTTTTTGATTTCAAAATAAAAAAAATAGGGGTATACGTTTTTTTGATATGGAACAATCCTAGGGGGTGAGAGCATTACAATTCCGGCTTTACTGTTATCACCCTAATGTACATACCTATCTGCAAGCACACCATACGATTTTACTAACTTTGTAGCGTCATTAAAAGTTTACTGCATTCATATTTCAATTTGATAACCAACTAATAAATTTTGTGTCGACTCTAATCGATTTTAGCATGGGAGCTTAATTAAAATTTTAGCCTACAAAACAAAGTCCTTAGGTAATAAATTGAATACTCCAAATGTTCTCCTGTCACATTTGTCAAACAGTTGTTGTTGTTATTGTTTGTCACTGATACTTTCCAACTTGTCGGTAAACAACAACGGAAACAGCTTAACCAGGCAATTTAACAATTTCAGCGCACATTTCCGTTCTCAGTTGGCACACGAAGCATTCTGCCACATAAACGTGTGTGAAAATATTGAACTTGTGTGTACTTCATACCAATCACATACAAATATACATACATACATACATATGTGTAAGCATATGTGCCACAACACCGACAGGATCCACCACTAGCTTTCTATGATATGGTTTTTCAAACTCATTTAAAATACTTGGCAATAAACTACTTATTTATACGGAAAAGAAGAAAATAGAGGAAAACCCAAAAACAAATGCAGAAAGTTATGCCTCCGCAAATTTTCTGAGAATTAAATGAAAGCAGAAAAACAGCAGCAGCTGCAACAAGAGACAAGTGCTTCAGCAGAAGGAGAAAACAGCTTTCCAAAGTTAATAAACATACAGCAAAGCCAGTCAAGAGGAAGATGCGCGCATGTATTGGAAATATTGGTAATGAAGATGGACTGAAGGCGGGAAAGTGAGCGCTGGTCGGTCATGTTGTTGCTGAAAAGATAGCGTGCAATAAATAAAAGCTGCAAGTTCAGTTGCGTTACAACTGCAGATAAGGTCATAGAGGCTAACTGCTGTTTAATGGATGTAAAATGAAAGGGGAGTGTGATGGAGGAATGTGAATACGCATGCCATAGCGGCGAAGTAAAAGCGTTACGGTTGTGTTGCAAGGATAACAGATGTAGCAATGCACACTAGGGTGGTCCAAAAACAGTAAATTGGGGAATTGTAATGCTCTTACCCCCTAGGATTGTTCTATATCGAGGAAAGTATACCCTTATTTTTGATTTTGAAATCAAAAAATATTTAGAGGTCGCTCAAAGCGCTCAAAGTTTTCCATATATGATGTATTTTGGAACGAATTTCCGTCATCCCTTGTCATACATATGTATGCATGTGTATACATTATGGTGGTCCAAAAATGTAAGTGAAAATGTAGAGTCGGAATTTTCTATACATACAAAAATATACCCCTATTTTTTATTTTTAAATCAAAAAATATTTAGAGGTCGCCCAAAGCGCTCAAAGTTTTCCATGCATTTTTATATGGGAAAGAATAACTTTTCGTAGAAATGGTATATAATTCGTGAAAATAAATATTTTTCGATCGGAAAACTCTGGTTCTCTTCAGCAGAATTACAATAATAGCACACAATTGTTTATTTAACTATTTCGTAATACTAACGAATCGACCCATTCTAATTGTATAACAATAAAAATTTGCGGAAGGAAATCAAAAAACGGACGAAAGCAGATATGATTTCTTACTGAATATTATTAGAAATTGTAATAGCTTATAAATTTTGCGTCATAAATCTTTTTAAATCACTAAAATAGGACCAGCGGTTGCCGAGATATTTAAATTTTAACGACAAGCTAAACAAAACTTTCGAAAAACTTTAGTATAAAAAAGGTAAAAAAAGAGTTTTTTTAAAGTATAGGAACAACTAAAGACGCCTAATGGTTACCGATTTATATTAAATTCACTAAAAAAGCAGCAGACAGTTTTTTGTCTTTGCGATTTGACGAATTCTGACCCAATAACGATTTAACTCGGAACGGTTTAGTTATTTGCCCAATGATTTCGGGCATTGTGTCCGAATGGGTGACCCGATCAAAAAATCAAAAAACACTTGTAGAAAAGGGTCCACACGTTATTATAAAACCTAATATTATAATTTGCGGTCACAAATTTATTAATAAATTCGGTCTGAAAAATGCACTTTTTGTGAATTTCGGAGTGAATTCTACGTAAATATACGGTGGATGGCGTAGCCGCAGTTATATGCACAAGAAATGTTGAATACCTTTCACAATTCTAGTGAAAAATACTGTTTATCGCGTTTGCATTACCGGTGTAAAAAGGATAATTTTAGACCATTTCCAATGGTTCCCCAGAGGTATGTGGAATGTATCGAGTAATCAGGTGTGACTTTTTACAAAGTGTGAACTGTGGCAATCTCGGCCGCTGTGGTGCAGTGGTGCAGTGGTAAGCAGTGCGCGCTTCCACTCCGCAGCACCCGGGTTCAAGCCCTGGTCAAAGCAACATCGCAAAAAAATATAGAAAAAAGGTTTTTTCTTAACAGCGGTCGTCCGTCGGCAGGCAATGGCAAACCTCCGAGTGTATTTTTGCCATTAAAAAATAGCTTCTCATAAAAATAGCATCGCCGTTCGGAGTCGGCGTAAAACTGTAGGTCCCTCCGCTTTGTGTGACAACATTAAGGCGCTCGCCACAGAACGGAAGAGAAGCTCGGCCAAACACTAACATATTGTGTAAGCGCCAATCTATTATTATTATTATTATTATTAACTGTGGCAATCAAAAGTTAGTGCATGGTGTATTTTGTTTAATATTTGCAATGTTTTTAAAGTTACAATTTTTTGTTATTTTTTTATAAAAATATGATTCATGCTTTAATTAAAACTACATAAGTCAAACTTTCAAACTTTATACAGAACTTAGAAAACTTCAAAGAAATTTTCGTCTAAATCTTGACCTTTTTAATCTGAATTTTTAGAACAATTTTGAGTACGCAGATAGATCGGGTTTAAACAAGTGCAAGTTGTAAGCGGCTAAAAATCGCGTTAATCTCCGAAATCGAGATTTGGGCCTTCGAAGTTCGAAATTGGACCTATGGTCAAACACTATGTTTAATTATTGTATGTGAACAACTAAAAAGGTATGTAGTTGGCCTCTTGCTCTTATTTAAATGGTATGGTATACAATTTTTTGTGCAAACTTATATTACAGGTGCTATAAGGGGTCAACGGTCAGATCTTCGAAAAATTAAAACCTTATATTTCTAACAATTTTGAACTGATTCTTAAAAAAGTGATATCGTAAAAGGTTATTAAACCCAGTTTCTCCCTATAAGCATTCTTGTATACTTCGAATATAAAAATTTGTGGAAAAACACTTAAAAGAAAAAAATACCAATTTTTTATAAAAAAAAAATATTTTTTACAAAAAAATTACTAATTAGTAATACAATTGAATACTTTGTTTAAATGAAACAGAAAATTTCCTTCAATTTTATATATACAGTGAACCAAATAACAACTGGGACGCGACATTTCAGCAAGTTTTGGCTATTTTTCTTTAGTATATATCTGATTACTTAAGTTTAACTTAAGTTTCTAACTTCCTAATCAGCATCTCTAGATACAATTTTGTTATGCAGTTTTGTAGCGCATTTAATTTTAGGTGACAGGTAACAAAATCAACGCAAATAAGGTGAATTGACGCTAATAATTAACATTATTACCTTTTCAAAAGCGAAACAAATCCGTTGACAACATTGCTCTTTGATAGATAAAATTTGTGTGCTTAGCTTAACTAAGTGGCAGTGGCCGGCTACTACAATTAGTATTTGAAAATCACAAATTAATTTTTTTTGCGGCTAATTTGCCGCGGCGCGCCCTCCGAAGGGTTAAACTTTTTAATCAGAAATAAAAAATCCGAGTATGCAGTTTTTTAGCTCATTCAAATATAATATGATCAGTGGAAGTTTGAATTACATATCCTAAAATCCGCACCGATTTTTGATCTTTTTTTGCTGGCGGTAATATGCATTTTCTTTCATACAAAAACATTTCAAGCATTTTGTATATGGGTGAAATTATAACTTACACAGATGTCATTAAACTCAAAAATGTTTGCAGTTTTACCATAGGCTTGCATTTCTAGACAAAGTTGTGTATAACAAAATTTGAAAAATGCTTTA